TGTGTGTGTGTGTGTGTGTGTGTGTGTGTGTGTGTGTGTGTGTGTGTTTATCTTCCCTCAGGATCTTGATGCTCTGTTATCTCTGAACTCCAGACATCTGTGACATGTAGCAGAGCCCCGTCATATTTCTTCTCTGCTAGCTTCTGTGTTTGTTCAACCGTGCACACATGTTGTAGTGGGTGTTTGTATGTGAACGTTATCAATCACCGACTTTGCATCCAAGTCTCCGTCGTCCATTTTTTTTCCTTTGGTTATAATAAATTATCTTTTGGGGAAAAAGAGAATTTAAAAAAATAAACAAATCTCAATTGCAAAAGTGATGAGACAGACAATGTCTTGATTTACAACAATTTGTACTGCCATGACATTTTGTATAGATATTCATGGTCTCCAGAGGATGAACGGTTACTCTGCTGATCCCCAGCAGATTGACTTGTTTACAACTAATGGCTGGATTCCAATGAGATCTGGTTCAGATATCCACACTTTTCTTTTAGAGCCACCAGCAGATCAAAGTTGTCACTTATCCAGTGAAATATCTAAGCATCTACTGGATGGATTATCACGGGATCTTGTTCAGACTGTAATTGTTCCCCGACGAATCCTTTTGACATTTGATCTAGCACCACCATGAGGTCCACATTGGTTTGAAGTGAAATGTCTAGACAACTATCAGGGGTATTTTTACAAGATATTTTATGCCTCACAGAGCTTCTAGTATGGCTGTAGACTCCTAGTTTTGTTGTATCATATTTTCTGTAAATGTTGCTGATATCTTACACAAGACACCAGATATGGTAACATTATTCACCATGTAGCTTTACAGCAGCTGCTGTCATGTAAATAATTCTGCTATTTGATAAATGCTTTCGCCTTACCCAAAGGAACAAATGATCAGCCTGGGACACATGGATCATTTTGATGTATTTTCATTTTGCACAGTTGTCTATTTCCATTCATTTTTTTTTTTTGTAACTTTAGATTTATTGCAGCCGTGTCTCTGTTTGAATGTTTCTGTTCTCATGCTGGCGTCTGCAGAGCCCTGTGCTTTGATATCTTGAGGGCTCAGTCAGAGGATTGGCCCTCATTCAGCCCTCAGCGGGGGGGGGGGGGGCCCAGTACAGAGAGACTATTGGATGCCAAATGAACAGGCAGTGTCAGTAGCCTCGGAGAACAGCTCATGTCTATTTTTAACTTGTATACTCTCACTAACGATGTGTGGTCAACCAGCAAATTTGAGTAAAAATAAGAGCAGACAGCTGCATGCTGGCCACAATTTCACGACTTTTTAAGACGTGTTCTGGGTCCAAAAGCGTTTAAGTAGACGAGGGTGAGTTGGTGCTTTTTCTAGTCTAATGAAGGAACGTGTTATTTCTTTGGGTGTTCAGGCACTCCGACTGTATTATGTTGCACTTTTTTGGATGCTGCTATCATGCACTGCAGGCTGCTTTCCCAGTATTTTCCATCAGGAGCAGCTCAATGCTGCGCTAATTGGGGCTTTTTAAATATCATTATCGCCGTCTTTACATCCTCAGACCTCACAGCTTGTGGTGGTATTTAAACACATCACACATCCCGTTCTCCACTCCGGGGGTTTCGTGCATTAATGCTTCAGCCCTGAAACGCAACGTGCTTCAGCTCCGCACATGCCCTCAGTCACCACAGAGACGACAGAAAAGCTCCTCATAGCATCGTTCTGAGGTTTTCCAACAGGTTGATCACATAAAAAGTAATTTTTTCTCCTGACAACACGTGCCCATTTTAACCAGTCACAGCTGCTTTAGGTTGTGCGCCAGGTTTTGCAGCAATTTAAAGATTGGAGGAGATTGAGCATATCAAAAAGTTAGAAGTTGTCCAAGTTTCCACATAGACTGGGTATTATTAAGTCTGTGAATGGAGGGGAAAAAATAACGTCAAGACGAAAAAGCTTTATTTTCAAAGAGAGAGGAGTGATTATTCTTGATTAGAAGAGCAGAATGGGAGAGTCAGCAGAAAAGGATTCTGGCTGCAGGGATGTCTGCAGTAGAGCTGAACAACTAATTCAGACTTCATCCTCAAAGTTCAGTCCACATGTAGGTACTCTTGCTCCTCCCACACTGACCTTCGTCGTGGCCTCTGACGGAAGTAAAAACGGAACAGCCCGTGTTGTTGCGACGGCGTAAATGAGGTGACGTGTGAGTGAAAAGGCTTCATCGGAATGGACGCCTTCCCCTCAGCTGTGTCTGTCAGGCAGGAAGCGCTGTCTGCCCTTTCCTCACCGTGAAACCGCCTAACTGTGAGAGTCACTCGGACAGGAAACTAAAGTGACGTTGTCTAAGGTGCTCCAGTATGAAACATTAAAAGTGCAGAACATCTCTGATTCATCAACTCCTCTTTGTCAACAAACTGTGATAGATTTCTTTGTTTTTATTTAATGGATGCCAAATGTTGATTTATTCACATGTTTTTGGGACAACTTCACATTCCTGTAGCGACGTGGTGTGATTTCCTGCTTCTGATGGAGAGGAAGTGAGGGTCACAGGGTGACAGATGGGTTGTTAAAATAAGTTGGAAGCAATGAAAGAGACAGACAGCCACCGAATGAAGGACAGAAAAAAAGACTCGGAACTGGAAACGAGATGCGACTGCACATTCCAATCTCTGACAGACAAAACCAGTTCTTCACACACCATATCAGAATTAGTTCATGTATTGGAATTGACTAACAAACTAATTCTGATGTTGGTTTTCCTTTTTAGTCGAGAACGAGAGCCACTGCGACTTTGTGAAACTCCGAGAGATGCTGATCAGGGTGAACATGGAGGATCTGAGGGAGCAGACCCACGCTCGCCACTACGAGCTGTACCGGCGCTGTAAGCTGGAGGAGATGGGCTTCAAAGACACAGACCCCGACAGCCAGCCGTTCAGGTAGAGGGAGAGGAGAGGGAGAACACACAAAAATCCAAAAACCACGGAGATACTGACAATATCTGATCTATATTACCGTCTTCTCTTCTGTCCAGTCTTCAAGAGACGTACGAGGCCAAGAGGAAAGAGTTCCTGGGGGATCTGCAGCACAAAGAGGAAGAAATGCGACAAATGTTCGTCAACAAAGTAAAAGAGACGGAAGCAGAGCTAAAAGACAAGGAGCGAGAGGTCAGTCTCAAGGTGGAATTATGGTTATCGATGCAGTATGTTTCATTTTAAATGGTCGTTGATATGTTCACACACCAACACTGCAACTACAGAGAGTAATGAGTATAATGATAATACATGCCCTCATATATGAATTAATGGGTGAGATGGAGGCGAGGAGCTATGTCCATTTTTGTTTGCAGTCAGTTTATTCTATTGTTGGGTCCATTTCAACACTAAGGGTTAAATTAACTGTTGGCACGTAGCAATTAAAACCTCCTTCCTCACCCCCGTCCTGTCTGTCTCCATTCCCCCCCCCCTCAGCTGCATGACAAGTTCGAGCAGCTGAAGCGGATGCACCAGGAGGAGAAGAGGAAGGTGGAGGAGAAGCGGAGAGACCTGGAGGAGGAGATGAACGCCTTCAACAGGAAGAAGGTGGCGGCCGAGACACTCGCCTTATCTCAGCCCCTCAAGAAGGACAAGGACAAGAAAAAGTAAGCCGATCCCTCCTTTCCTGTCGCTCACTCTCCTCACTCTCCTTCTCCATAGCGGGGAGCTGCTTTTTTTTTTTTCCCAACCCTGCTCCTTTCTTTAACTAATCCTGGGCCTTAAATTCTGAAATGATTTACTTTTTTTTGTACACTGGCTTCTCTTGCTTATCTCACCCCTTCACTTTTTGCTCTCTAACCCCTGTTACAAGTCTTTAAGCAGGCGGTGTGCATTCCGCCCAGTCACAGTGTGGCATAGTGTGACATTAATGAGCCGCGCAGTCGTCGACCTATCTCCAGTATGCAAGCGTTTCAGCTTTTATAAAGGCCTGGCATGTGTCAAGGAAACTTCCTCCCTTTTTTTTTTTTTTTTTTTTTTGTCCTGCCCGAGCTTAACATTTCCTGTCCTTTCACTCTTTCCTTTTGCCTCGCTCTAATTATTCTGGATATTCAGGAAAGGAGGCAGTGAAGCCATTTAAAGCTTCGCTTCTGAAGAGGTGACACGGAATACAGTTCAAACGGGGCATAACTGTTTTCTTTAGGTGCATACTAAATAATCATGATGACTCGGGTACAAAAACAATGTATACTTCACTGTACAGCATCTTTTTGGATAGATTAGAATAGCGAACCATCGTAAATGTGTACGTTTGGTGCTTTTAAGTCTCCACGTTAATCTTTAATCTTCTGTACTGATACTATCTGAATATCCGATGGCTGTCTGGGAAGTTAGAAATGATCTGAAATCACACGCTAAGCTCTGGACAATGATTTTCAGTGGGCTGTGCCTGGCTGGTAGTTAATGTAGTCCTTCTTGCCCTTATCCTCCGACTCTTCCTCTCCGAGAATGGAAGTGAAGACGCTTGGCTCCATCTTGTGGCGGCTCACACACTTTGCTCTCTGTGCCGTTTGAGGAAACTGATCTTCCATTTTGTGGTTTGTGAAGGACATCCCACCAGTTTTACCTCTTATGCGATTCATTTACTCTCTAAAGATTCGTCACGAGGCAACTTGTTGATATGGAAACATGTAAAAAAAGTAGCATTGCAGAGGATGCATTCAGGAGCGATGTTTGAGAAGGAAAGGGTAGCGCTATCATATGGAACGCAGTTGTGACGGCTCAAACGATTCCTGTCTATTCACTAACGCGAGCAGTGGTAGTTATTTTAACTGCAGCACCTCTTTGCTTTTGCTCTACTTCATTAGTTTTCTGTAGAAAACTTTATCATTCATTTCTTAATTCCTCAAAGTAGTCATTTATTTTGTTCATTGTTTGTCATTGTTTTTCAGTTAATTTATGGGCGCTGTAAACCCTCCCACACACGACCATGGATTTGTCCTCCATCACCATTGCAACGACAACACCTGTTTGTTTGTTTTGTTTTTACATTCCATCTTGACATTGTGCACATGGACCAAAGACACTGAGGATGATGATGATGATGATCATGATGAAGCCACAGGGGAGAAAAAGAGTGAAAGATGGTGAGAGATTATGAGGAAAACAATGTTCACTTGCCAACAGTGGCCATCTCATTTATTCAGGATCTTTATGCTTTTATATATATATATATATATATATATAGATATATATATGCATTTTGTTTTTCTATGTTGTGACTTTCTGTTGTATTTTTTTGTGTTTTCCATCACACAGAAACAAAGGTTCAACCTTCTGGTACTAACACAGTGGGCCAGTCATTTGAAACCGCTCAATACGTATTTAAAGAATTTAAGGTGTGCTTGATTTTAAACGACTGACATTTAAATGACTAAACGAAGATATCGGTGAAATCAAACCTTTCCTAAAGTCTTTTTAAATACCCGAGCTGTTTGAAATGTTGTCCAGGTGAGATGTGCCTGTTAACCATTTTGTAATCATGACAACTTAGATTTAAGTACATTTCACAGTAGAATAAATCCCCGAGCCTAAATAGTACACTTAAATAGCATTGTCAGGCAATACAACCGAGTACCTGTTTACTGTATAAACCACACATAGGTACTGACAACCTAAAGCTTAGTCTTAACCCTTAATAAAAAATATATGCAATATTCTGGTGCTGTTACATAAATGTATGTGAATATTTCCTAGAGCTTACTCTGCTTAATATGCTAAATGTACTAGTTTTTGAATATATTATTGTAAGAAGCACATATGATGGTAGACATTGTCCACAAATGATGTAACTTTATTGTAAACCATGAGTGACCACCTTGATGCGTGTGTTGTGACAGTGGACACACACACACACACACACACACACATGCGTGCACACAAACAAGAAGCCAGTATGTATACGTACACACAAACACAGGATTCAGGAAAACATACAAGCCTCAGCTCGCTGTGGAAGAGTTTTACACTCTGAGAGAGAAGAGAGCAGCTGTATTTACTGTCTGTCGTTGGAAATAAATGCAAACCCTCCCCCCCCCTTCCGACTTTGATGTGTCTCTGCCATCATTTGTTTGACAATATTCAGCCGGGAGGGAGATGAAAGTGAAACACAGGCAGGTGAAGCTACACACACACACACACACACACACACACACACACACACACACACACA